ATATATAAATGAAATAAATATAAATTGAAAATAAAAGCTCTGATATGACATTTTGAGACAAGGAACCTCCAAAGATGCTGTTGAGTTTGTTTTCTGTTGGCCATATACTCTGGGCAGACAGACCATCTTTTAGAGTAGTTTGTTTTACTAGTGAGACTCCCTTCGGGAAAACTAAATTTCATTTGCAAGTGGTTATCAACTGCAAATAGCTTGTGAGGAAGGGGTGGGCTGATGTGTCTACTTCTCTCAACTCTAGGAATCTGTCCAGGCCCTGTACCTGCTGCCTCAACTCTGGGTTCCTAAGTGCTTTGATCCGGTTGACTTACAGGGCCTTTTTTCTTTGGTGTCTTCCCCTCTGGCTCTTCCAGTCTTTCTGCCTCCAAGGTTCTCTGGACTCTGAGAAAAGGGATTTTAAGGAGATGTCCCAGTGTAGGGATGAGTGTTTTAAGGTCTCTCATTCTCTTCATATGGTCTGGCTGTGGTTCTCTGTTTCTATCTGCTGCAGAAGTTTCTCTGATGATGGCAGAGCAAGGCACTGATCTGCTTTGCAAGTCTTTCTTCTCCCTATGTCTCTCCTAGACTTCCAGAGGCTCCTTTGTTAACTCAAAATATAAAAAACTTGATGTCAAAGAGAACACAACACAGAATCAATGTCCGTTTCATACCATTCCTGTTTTCCTATTGAGCACTAGCTTTTCTTACTTGCTTTATTCAACAGACTTCTACTGAAATAATATTCTCCCTTATGTATTTAGTCTGTAAGCTTTGGTAGCCTATTTTCTTTTTTTTAATTGATTTTTATTGAGCTTTATATTTTTCTCTTTTCCCCTCCCTGCATCTCCCCTCCCCTTTTCAACCTTCCCCTTAAGGTCTCCATGCTCCCAATTTACTCAGGAGATCTTGTCTTTTTCTACTTCCCATGTAGATTAGATCTATTTAAGTCTCTCTTAGCGTCCTCATTGTTGTCTAAGTTCTGAGTGAGGTAATCCAGACATAGAAAGACAATTATCATATGTACTCACTCATAGGTGTTTTTGAAACATAAAGCAAAGAAAACCAGTCCACAAACCACAATCCAGGAGAACTTAGGTAGCCTATTTTCAATCTGTGCTAGTTTGAAAAGTGTCATCCTGAAGGTTACCCAAGTTTAAAATTCTTAGTTATGATGATAGTCTTTTCTAGGTCATCATACTTCAACAATGCTGACATTTTTTAGTAGGTTCAACTTTTCTGTTGTGACATTCTAAATGCAAATGCTTCACTTGTCAAGGGCTTTCCTCTCTCTTCTGCTCCTAGAGACTTCCATATGCTCTTCTCTAACTCTGTTGTGGTTAGTTTAATCGTCGACTTGACACAGTCTAGAATCATCTGGGAAGAGATTCTCAGTGAGGGACTATCTAGATCAGGTTGATCTGTGGGCATGTCTTATGAGATTATCTTGATTACCTTAATTGACTCTGCTGTTCAAGAATGAAAGGAGGTGGGACTAATTCCCGGATTTGGGTCTCTGGACTATAGGGGAATAGAGAAAAGTAGCTGAACAGCGAGCACGAGAGCCTTCACTGCTCATTGCTCTTGACTGTGGATGTACTTTGACCAGCTGCTTCAAGCTCTTGCACTGTGACTTCCCCATGGTAGTGCTCTGGAACTGTGAGCTAAAAGAAACCCTTTCTCCCTTAAGCCACTTTTGTTGTTATGTTATGACAGTTACAGGAAGGAAAGCAGGAGAAACACTAATCAGCCCTTGCAATTCAGTACTGCTTTCTTTCCCAGCTTTTGTGTATCCTGGACATGGGTGGAACCTCAAATTCACTCATCAAAACTGGAACTCACCATTCCTACCCAGGTCTTGCATACTTTCCTTCTAATTTCCATGTTTTAGCACTTCTCATGTATGGAGAAGAAAACTGGTCACTATGTTTCTATGTAAATCATTTAACTTAATCCCCAATGTCATTCATATTTCATCAATAAGACCAGAACTGAGTTGTCTAATGAGTTTACCTAAGAATAGGATATCAGCTTCCTTAAACAGATGCTAAATCCATATATTTTTTACACTATGTTGACAGAGTGGTAACTATTAATAGTATTATTTTGTGTGTATGTATGTGTATGAATGCAGGTGCATGTGTGCTGTGGTAGACACATGATGGTCAGAAGACAACTTCTAAGAATCAGCACTCTTCTTCCACCATGGGACTGGACTCATGGTGTCAGGCTTATTTGGCAAGCACTTTACCTATTGAGCCAGCTTCCAGCTTTCAGAGTGATTATGATTAAATAGCAACAAAATCACGAAGAATACTCATTTGTGTTTTTGTTGCCACATTTACTGTGGAAGGAAAATAGACAAGCATACTTTGAAAAGACCATCACCCTTTTACAGGAGTTGAGATACATCAAAGATTTCAGAGGAATTGGTTATTTAAAGCTAACAACAACAAAACAGCCCTTTTCCTAATTCCTAACTTAACCAGGTCATGTGACCTAATAAACTGGGCATTTAATTTTGTCTCTAATGTTGAGTTCATGATTAGTATAGTTCGTATTCATTGTCTGTTGCTAAAGTCAACAACTGATACTTTTTGAGTACTGGGCTACAATGCTAACTTAAGCTTGGTAAGTGAGGCAGACAATTCTAAAACTAATCAGTAGCCAAACAGCACAGAGATAGCTCAGGGCATGTCAAATGGGGATTAAATGATAGGCTGTATGGATTGATTCTAAAGGACGCAGCATTGCTAGACAATTGAACACTAAACAGCGGTTAAGTACCATTTTCTGTAATTTAGACTGAATGAGGTTGGGAGATGAAATCCCTGGAGAATTAAGCAATGATGATAGTCTCATTTTGGACTCTGTGTCATCTAGGTCAAGAAGTTCCTAAAATGACAAGTAGATTTACTTGGTACATTAAACACACCCACTTCCTAAGTCTTCTTGTTGTTTCTTTAACAAGTGTGTCTGGACCATGACCCAATGCGTTAAGGAGTCTCATCATCCACGAGGAGAAGATGATGAAACCAAAGATTTAGCAGACTGTATCCGGAGCCTGAGGCATTGTGTTTCCATTTTTGCAGTTTTCCTCCATTACTCTGAATGACAAGTTTAAAAATCAAAGAAATCAAGAACTTTGAGTCCAAAAGCAAAATATCTCTAGCTCTTAGCCGAGGATTTGATGAAAGGTTTATAATCAGTAGAAAAGAAAGTGAAGAGGGGCTAGCTCTCTTCTAACTTGGTGACACAAATGACATTGTGGTTTCATTTGGAACTTTCAGGAAGGGGTCCAGATCACCATTTTTCAGGAAGCACAAAAGATGGGCCGGAAGAAGCGTATGTCTGCCTGCCCTGCAGAGAAGGCTGCCCCTTCTGTGCCGACGACCGCCCGTGCTTTGTCCAGGAAGATAAGTACCTACGACTCGCTATCATCTCCTTCCAAGCCCTGTGTATGCTGTTGGACTTCGTCAGCATGCTGGTGGTCTACCACTTTCGCAAAGCAAAGGTAAACCCAGGTATCCTGGTCATGGCCCTTCTTTATACTAACAGTAATTGCTTCTCTAAGGAAACCAAATTTCCTAATCCCTGCTACTATTCTAGTAAGCAGGCATTTTGTTTTGCTATAACGTGATTGGGTGAGAATATTAAAACCATATCCATTTGCCTCCCAAGAAAAGAAGGGCTAATAATATGCTGTGCTAGTATTTCATCATAGAAAAGTTGCTTTCTATTTAGGCCAGGACTCTGATGCTCCACTGCCCTAAGGACCCTTTTTAAAGTCATCTCTTTGGTCACTAGATGACCTTCCACTACCTCCATCCAGTGGGTGATTCATTTTTCATATATAGAAAGTCCTGTTGTGTTTTTGTTTTATTTCTCTTAGTAATATTTACTGTCCAGGGATGATAGAAATGTTAATACACCTAGGGCAAAGTTGGGAGCTTTCTCCAGTGTTCAGAAATCAGTTACATGAAGCAGGGGTTGGATTCTGTTGCGTTGCACTAAGTTCTTTGTGACACAGGAAAAAGACAATGTATCTCCATCATTCTTGGATTCAAATGACTGCTTTATCTTGACACAATTGCTCAGATTGTTGTAGATTAGAGAAATTTTTGAAAATAGGTGTACCTACTAGAAATTTATAAAGAAAAGAAGTCTTTTTGGATAATTTCTGCTACAAAGCCACTAGTTAACTATTATGCTAATGTTATAGATGTTATTAGTTACTTTTAATAGTAGGCAACACAGTTTAAATCAAGATTTCAGTCAGCTAGAAAATGCAAACATGCAATTTTTTCTTATTTATTTATTTATTTATTTATTTATGATTTCTGTCTCTTCCCCACTGCCACCTCCCCTTTCCCTCCCCCTCCCCCAATCAAGTCCCCCTCCCTCGCCAGCCCAAAGAGCAATCAGGGTTCCCTGTCCTGTGGGAAGTCCAAGGACCACCCACCTCCATCCAGGTCTAGTGAGGTGAGCATCCAAACTGCCTAGGCTCCCAGAAAACCAATAGGTGCAGTAGGATCAAAAACCCATTGCCATTGTTCTTGAGGTCTCAGTAGTCCTCATTGTCCCCTATGTTCAGGGAGACCGGTTTTAACCCAGGCTTTTTCAGACCCAGGCCAGCTGGCCTTGGTGAGTTCCCGATAGAACATCCCCATTGTCTCAGTGTGTGGGTGACCCCCTCGCGGTCCTGAGTTCCTTGCTCGTGCTCTCTCTCCTTCTGCTCCTGTTTTGGACCTTGCAATTTGCTTCCATTTTACAAGTACTAATTTTTCTCTTGGAAAAAAAACTATGTTGATTTTATGTATATAAAATAGTGGGCAAATATGTTCCCAGATAACATCTTAAAAGAGCAAGTCAGTAGCAGTACCAGAATTGAGAGGTCTATTTAATAAACTTCTCTGAAATCTCTCTGATGTAATAAATTCATTACATAGTGGAAACCACAGTCCTTTATAAATTTTAATTGATTTTAATCATTAATGATGGCTGTGCTAAGTAAGTATGTGATAAATGTGGGCAGAATGCACCATTGGGTACTGAGAGGTTTGCTATAGGTCGTTCTGTCTGGGCCCATGTCTCAATCTGTGTTAATGTTACTTCCCAGACCAACCATTCAGATCTGCCTAGACCTTTGCAGGAAATGGGCAGCAGCTGACCAGACCTTTTGTTTTTTTTAACAGGGCAGCCATGAGAATACAATTCTTTACATATAATCTTGATGAAATTTCTTGGATGTTATCTAGTTGGAAGTTGGCTACCGTTTGAAATCAGTTTTCCTAGAATGAGAAACAAAACATAGGTCCTAAGTTAATCAAACCAAGGAACATAGATCTTGCATATTGTAGAAAGGAAATGCGTTGTGATATTTCCTTTCGTGATTTCTCTTACCAAACTGGATTAACTATAAAATAATGATACATTTCCATATAGAAAGTGCAAATATATAGCATGTGAACTTTGGAATTATTATTTAAACATTTTGTGTGTATCTTGGCAACATTTCTTTAAAAACTATGGGGCAACATCAACACTTTATTTAGTATTTCTTACTGTGTTTTCTATTCCTGATAATTAAAAGAAAAAATACCCTTTTACCAATATGATCTATTTAGACAAAAGAGAAAAAAAGCAGTTTAATATAAATGTAGCATGGCAATTGTCAGCCATATCATTTAGAATTAAATCCCATCTCGGCATCTCTTTGACTAGTTTCCTCCTTTATGATATGGGGCTGCTACAATACATCCAATCCCAAATATTGATCCAAAGTGTAACAACAACCTAAATGGAAGAGTCATAACAAAGAGTCGTTTCTTAGATGGAAACATAGGTGCAGATCTTCATGGTTTTGAGTTACTCAACTTTTTAAAGATATGGCATAAAACCCACAAATAATAGAAGAATAAAATGATAAATTGTACTTCATGAAAATTGAGTCTTTAGACCCTCAAAATACACTATTGAGAGAGTCAAAAGACACCCAATAGAAGAGCAACAGTTGCAAGATCTCTCTCTCTTGAGAGAGAGCAGTGTCCAAAATATATAAGTAATTCTCATAACGTAACAATACAAATAAAAAATAAACCTTAAAATGAAGAAAATATCTGGATAGACATTTCTTAAAAAGGAGTATGACAAGCCAATGAACACATAAAAAGATGCTCAATAATATCTGCTATTAGAAAAATGTAAATCAAGTGCATAACTCCAACAAATGTAGCTTAAATATTTTTTAAAATTCTATTAACCAATGATGAGAATGTAGACAAATCAAAAATCTCCAATCTGTTTCTACTGCAGATTCAAAAGTGTGCCCAGATTGGGATGTATCTTGGTAATACCTGGAAAATTTAGAATATTATACAATATGGCTCAAGTATTGTATTCCTTTACACATCTATACAGAAATGCAAATAAATATTCATGAAAGTGTCATCCACAACAATTAAATGGTGAACGCCACCCAGATACCCATCAATTAACACAAATGAATAATTAAGAATAATTAAGATGTAGTATTTCCATATAATAGAATACTATTCATCAATGAAAAGGATTATATATTAATACATGGAGTAATATGAACAAACTTGAAGATGCTAAGTAGGCAAACAACTTCAAAAGACAATATGTTGTATGATTCCATTCATCAAAAATGCTCAGAATTAGCAAATTTATTGATCCCAGAAAAAAAGAATAAGGAGTGACCATTTATGAGATTAGGTCTTCTTTCAGAAGATTCCAGAATGTTAAAGGCATTTATATATACTCCACCTCCAAAACCAGTGATGAGATAATTCATCAGTTCATGTAGAATTAGTCTTAATTAATGCTGGTCTCTTGTTATTCTATTTAAAGGGTCTTTGCAAGAATAGCAATTAATATGTGTTTCTCACCTGTGGGTCTACATATACATTTAAACAGTTGAAGAGAATAAGATGCTGGAAAGTTCAGCACACACCTGAGTTGCATGCTCATTTATGTGCGAATTGACTCCAAAACCATCAGCATACATCTACTTCTCCTTGGTTTTTGTCTGTGAAGAGTTATTAGATGTACAATTAAACAAGAGTTATTTACCTATTTATAGCAGTGTCTTTTCTAGGAAGGTTTAATTTTCCTTCAAAATGAGAGCTATGGAGATCGCTCTTGGCTATCAATTGTTATGTCATTGAGGATATTTAAAAACTGGACTCATGCTGTTATAGTCTTATTATAGAAGCAATGTAAAAATTTATAACACACAAATAAACATGTTTGATACTTTCCTAGTTTTCATTTGGAAAGCAAAACTTTTTTTTTCAGAGCTAGAATCATGTCATATGTAATAAGTCCCAAACCCCAAGAGTTTGTTAGTTGCACAATACAAGTTAGTACAGCTGGTTTAGGAAATTTATATATTTGTACTTTATTGGGTTCCAGCCAATGGCATAAGCACTTTCAGTAAATGAATAGAATATAACCAAATTAAGATTAGATTTAAATATTAGTGAAAGTAAATGATGAGGTTAAGATAGAACTTGGATTCTTGAGGTCAGGGTCATGACTTCAATGGATTGTTAAAAAGTCAGAGACAACTGGAATTTTCTGGCAGCAGCACTAACAGAATGAAAAGGATTCAGTGGACCTCAAAATATGAACCAACCAAGAGAAACTCAAGCCTTAGATAAAATTTCTCCTGTGGATCATTATATAAAGAGGTTATCAAATGTAAAGAGTCTCTCCATCCTTCCATGGAGTCATGGAGCAGAATAATACTCTCTGTAGCCCTTTCTGCTCCTTTGCCGTGATTGTGCTGAAGTGTGAGTGTTGGAGCCTAGCCCAGACAAACAAGCTTTAGGAGTATGTCACGGTGCTCTAACACACAGCTCTTCAACGCTTGGTTTGTGTTAAACTTTTCCCGACCTGATGAAACCCCTGACAGAACAAAGAGCCAGAACAGAAATCTGGCTTTGGTTCACAGTTCAGATGGTACAGACTATCATGTGGTCACATGGTGGCAGACCAGGAAACAGAGATACAGCAGAAGTAAGGTCAGCATAACCTTCACAGGCCTGCCCCAGTCACCTCCCTCTTCTATAGGACTCACAGCCTTCGAGTAGTCCTTCAGCTGAGTACTGGGTCTAACTGTCAGCCTATGGGGGGGCACTTCATATTCAAGCCAGAACAATAATGAATGCTGAGGGGTCTACCAAGAGACACACACCTTGAGAGAAACACTTTTATCTATAGCAGCTACAGTGAGAAAGGGATAGGGAGGCCTGGTCATAGGCCTCAGGGAACCTCAGTATGTCTGTTGTCAGCTTGAGAATAAGATTTCTATAGTTTACGCCAAAATTCAGAATACAACATGTCTTAATTGCTGGTAGTGTGTATTTGAAATATTTTCTTTAGGGCCACCAGACATGGAACATCTTCGAACTTCAGTCTCTTTTATTTAAAGTGGATCACTTTTGTGAATTAACAGAAATAACCACACTGACAAGTCAAAATATAGGA